ACCATTCAATATATATACATATCCGGTTTGTGACTTAGAGTCATCCGGGTTAGAGTGTCAAAGCTAGCATCGTTGTAACAATTTACGACGAGTTCTTTGGCACCTCCATAAACAAGAAACATATTCTAGATCCTTTTCAGGTACTTCAAGATGTTCTTGACCGATGTCCAGTGATCCACTCCTGGATTACTTTGGTACCTCCCTGCCAGACTTATGGCAAGGCACACATCATGTCTGGTACACAGCATAGCATACATGATAGAACCTATGGCTGAGGCATGGGAAATGACTTTCATTTTCTCTCAATCTTCTACAGTGGTCGGGCTTTTGAGTCTGACTCAACTTCACACATTGTAACACAGGCAAGAACCCTTTCTTTGACTGATCTATTTTGAACTTCTTCAAAACTTTATCAAGGTATGTGCTTTGTGAAATTCCTATCAAGCGTCCTGATCTATCCCTATAGATCTTGATGCCCAATATATAAGCAGCTTCACCAAGGTCTTCATTGAAAAATTCTTATTCAAGTATCCTTTTATGCTATCCAGAAATTCTATGTCATTTTCAGTCGTCGCCGGAGCCGGAGTCCCTATTGGGGGCAGCGTCGCTTCGGTCGCCGGCCGTGACCGGTCAGTGACAGGTGAGCCCACCCGGGCGTTTGAGACATGTTTAGAACGCCCAGTCGTAGATGCTCTAAGAGCAACTCCAACGCGCCGACCCAAATAGACGGTGATTTTGTCCACTTTTTGTCCGCTTGGATCGGCCTGGCGGACACCAACGTCCGCTTCTGTGTTTGGGTCAGCGCATGCGCCCAACGCTGGCCCGACCCATTTTGACGGCACGTGAAAAAAATAAGCACAAACATTTTGAAAATAAAAAAATTATTTAAACATTAAAGCCGGCCACGAAGGCCGGCGAGAGTCCACGCGTCCACATTACATTAATTAAACATTAAAAAACTTAAACTACGAGGCGACGCGCTGCCCTAGGCGTCATCGTTGTCCACGTCGGGGCCGGTGAGGTCGATGAGCGTCGGTGTAGGGCCGGCCCAAGGGAACGTCGTGTTCCAGAACGCGATGATGTCGGCTGCGGGCTGTGCGGCCGCCTGTGTCGCCGCGGCCTGGCGCGCCTCCTCCTCGGCCTCGCCTCTGCTCCTCCTCGACGCGTCGCGCTCGAGCAGCTCGAGGTATTCGTCGTGGCGGCGCTCCTCGGCCAGCCGTTGCTGGCGCCATTGCTCGAGGTATGCTGCCTCATGTATCTCTGTCGCCCGGTACCAGACCAGCGGGGCGCTGATCCACTATGCGCCGCTCCTCCTCCTCACTCTCCCAGAGGACAGCCGCCATGGCCGCCTGGTATGCGGCCTCCGCCTCCTGGTCCTCGTCGTGGACGACGAGGGGGCGGCGGCAAGCTACAGCGACTTCGCGAACGCCGTGTCGCCTGGCCTTCTCGTGATAGAGGGCGAACCAACAAGCCCAGTTGGACGAGTCAAGGGCGTACGCGGCGTCGCTGCGCTGCTCCGGCGTCAGCATGGCCTGTTGGCGCCGCACCTCCTCCACGTGCGCCCTAGCCGGCCTTGGCACGGCTGACACCGGGATCCTCTCCGGATCCAGATGCCAGTCATGCGGCAAGGTGATGTCGGGGTACGGTAGAGCAACGCGGTGCTGCTAGTGCCACTTCACCTGGTGCACTGGCATGCTGATGCGTTGCCTCGGCCGGCGAGCTGGCGCCTACGGAGGCGGGGGAGGGGGGAAGGGGTGGCGAGGGCCCTGCCCTTGGCTTTGCTGTTGCCGGCGCAGGAGAAGGGCCCCATCTGGCTTGGCTAGGGGTGGCTAGGGTTGCCACCGAACGGGGAACAGGGGGTGGCGAGATGGGGACAAGGGCTCTCTGGAAGCGGATGAGGACGGGCCCCTCGCCCTGTTGGCTTAAAGAAGGACGGCGGCCTTAGCTGACACGTAGGCCCGAGGTGGGTGGTCGTCATAAATAAAGCTGAGTAAACTGGTCGCGGGGTAGTTGGACGGCCGTCGGGTGGGGATGCAGCGGACACCAAGAAGGCGTGCGAGCCATCCGCTTCGCGTCCGCGCTAACGCATTTGGGCTGCAAATGCGTCGGCGCGGACACGAAGCGGGCGCATTTTGGGTTTGGGTCGGCGCGTGGGCCTCCACTTTTGACCGCGCTGACCCAAACGGACGCAGACGGGACATTTTGGGTCTTTTTTGCATGGTAATATGTGTCTCATTCATATCATAAAGATTAAAGTACAAGTCACATAAAGACCGACATGACAAAACTGAAAAGATAGCAGAACGTCTCTGAACTTGACACCAACGCCCGTTACCTGCCTCCGGCACCACCATAGCAGCCACCAAAAGAAACAATGACGGATCACCTTCTCACCCGAGCTCAACGCGGCTCCATCACTGATATGCAGCTTTGCATACCTCCAAGGTGGCTCACCAAAGACGAAACCATTGTCAGTGAACGAATCAGACCGTGGCAACACCCCGGACATGCCATCGAACTCCAGATCCGGCACCCCACATGACTAAGACATCGGAGGAGGAAAATCATACCTGCCATCCACGAACCACGAGCCCAACACACGTTCCATCTTCCAGGTGTCGTCGATGCAGACCACAATCTGCATCCGCTCCTCGACTACCTCTCAAGCTCCACGCCGACATTGGAGCAGATGCCGTAGCAACGGTGGAGCTCGAGGACACATGTCCACCATAAGGATGCCGCCGCTGCCATGACATCCCCGCTTGAATAGACTGGTTCCTAGATCCTTCACGGACCATAGAGACGATCGCCTCGCCGGAGAATAATCCGGAGCTTCTTTATTCAGCATCGTCGTCGCCGCCGTCGAAGCCAAGACGTAGCTTCTTGGGCCCTAAAACCTAAAGCTATAAACGATTCACATGTGCGGGATCCAGCGACCCCTCCTCACTACCGACGATCAAATGGTCGCCGGCGCAGGAAGGAGCGGCTCTCCTATGGCGACGGCTAGGTTTCTCGCTACAGGAGGAAAACCCTCGACCATAAACCCTCGACCATAACAAGAGGAAAACCCTTCTCTCTTGTATCCTGTCATTTCTTAGATCTTACCAACGAGAGCGCTAAATAAGAGGAAACAGAAGAGTCCACATCCGAACGGCCCGTGAGCTCCCGCGACTAGGCGACTAGGGTTCCCCCTCCCCACCTCCTGCCGCCGCCGGCCCTTCCGCCGCCGCCGGCCCCGCGCCCCACCTCCGCCCCCTTCCTCCCTTCCCTCTCTCCCGTCCGGACCCACCTCGCGCCGCCTCCCCGGGAGGTGGCCGGGGCGGAGCTCGTGCCCCTCTTCTGCGGGCCCCCTCCTCCCTCTTTTCCTCTCGCCGCCGCCGGCGATCGCCCCCGCCGCTGTCCCGGGTGGCTCTGGCGGCGGTGGGCCTTCCCTTTCCTGCGCGCGCGTGCTCCCTTCCCGGGGAAGGGAGGCGGCAGCGGTGCTGCTCGGTGTGGCTGCGGTCCGGCTGCCCTGCGGCGGCGGCCGGCGGCAGGCGTGGTGTCGGCGCCGCTCCTTGGCGGCGGGGCGACGTGGTGGTGCTGGGTGGCCTCGTCGCGACCCCGACCCAGATCTGGACCCGGCGGGCCCCATCTGGGTCCTAGCGGGCCGGCTCCCCGGCGTGGCCTCGTTGTCTGCGGCGCGGTGAGGAGGAGGAGCAGCTCGGATGTGGGGCATCGGCGTCAACGGCGTGCCGGCAGCAGCGCGAAGGCGGGAGCTTTACGGGCCCACGAGGGCTCGGCCGGGCTTGTGCGACCATGGGCCTGGTGTGCTCCTGCTATTGCGTCCGGACGGCTACCGTCGCGGACGGTGGAGGTGGGGTCCTCCCGCGTGCCGACGATGCTAATGCCTTAGTCCCGGCTCTGATTCTTCGCCACGCTGTCCTCACTCCGCGGTGCCGTGGTGAGACGGCGTCGGGGCCTCATGTCCGCGTTGGCGCAGGGTAGTGGTTGGTCTGGTGGCTGGATCCGGAGCTCCCGAGGTGCGGGTTGGGATCGTGGGAAACCCCTGTCAGCGTGTCCGACACCGGCGCGGTGACGCCTGTGGGCGCCACCTGACCTTCCGGGAGGGCGTCGGGTGCTACCCTTCCTCTCGCCTCGTTGTGTACCGGGGGAAACCCTTGGCAACAGGGTCGTCATCGTTGCGATCCTTCTTGGAGGTGTTGATAGGTGCCGGCGCTCCTGAGTCTTGGAGCCTAGTGGAAGATCCTGGTGGGCGCAGTGGTCGCGAGGCTTCTTCGTTTTTGTTGATCCGCCGTTGTCGGCATTTGTTTCTTTGTTCTTTCTCTGTCTTTTCTTTTGGACGTGACTGTGCTACTTCCGCCCAGCACCTATCCCTGTATGGTTCGGTTGGTTGCTTTGTATACAAAGCGGGGAAATCCCTTTTTCGGTATACAGTATCTCTTTTGACGTCTTGGGTCTCTGCGGTGGAGTTGCTCTACGAAGGAGCGGTGACAGTGTCCGACACCAACTATGTGGTCATTCGCTGACACCACACTCCATCGTGAATTGGTGATGCCTCGCCTCCGCCTTCCCCGCCAGCCCGCACACGCTGGCGTAGTGACGCCCCGCATCTTCTCCTCCCCCATGCCGGCCTCGAGCTTGTGTGCTCCGGGCGTACGTTGCTGAAACGCCATTCCCGATGACACGCCTCTACTCCACCACGGCGTGCGCGCGCCGCGTCCGCATCAGCTGCTGCTGCTGTCTCTCCTCCTCCACCACCTCGCCGCCCTCGCGCACCTGGTCTCCCCGCGCCGCCTTCGCCGCGGCCACAGAGCGCGTCCCCGCCGGCACGCTCAGCCGACCAGACGCACATCGCCTGTTCGGCGAATTGCTACGGCGGGACACCCCGGTCCCCAGCCGCTCCCTGAACGGCCTCCTTCCCGTGCTCGCCCGCTCCACGTCCTCCGCGTACGTCCCGCGTCACAGATGGGCCCGCCCTCGCCGTCGCCCTCTTCAACCGCATGCGCCGAGCGGAAGCCGGCCCGTTTGTGGCGCGTCCCGCAGTGTACACCTACGGCATCCTCATGGACTGCTGCTGCCGCGCGCGTCGCCCGGACCTTGGGCTCGCCTTCCTCGGCCGTCTCCTCAGGACGGGCCTCAAGACAGACCAGGTCGTCGCCAACAACTTCCTCAAGTGCCTCTGCTACGCCAAGCGGACCGACGAGGACGTCGACGTGCTGCTTCATAGGATGCCCGACCTCGGCTGTGTGCCTAATGCCGTCTCATGCAACATACAGTAGTTCTTAAGAGGTTATGCGAGGACAGAAGGAGCCAGGGGGCACTCGACCTGCTCCACACGGTGGTTGGTGGCGAAACAGGGAGGTGGCTGCCCAGAGTTGTACCTCCGGCAGATGATTGATAATGGCGTTCGACCGAATAAAGGGACATATAATTGCATCATCCATGGATTATTCCACATCAGGGCAGTGAAGGCGCTGCTGAAATGTTCAGAGAAATGACAAGCCAGGGTCTTATACCAGACGTTTTTACTTACAACTCGTTTGCTTCCCTTTGCAAGCATGGAAGAAGCAAACAAGCTGCAGAATTTTAATGATTCTATGACTGCTATGGGCCACAAACTAGATATGCAGGAACAAGGAATGACTCCGGATGTATTCACCTACGCAACTGTAATAGCTGCACTTTGTAGCATGGGTAGGCTGGTCGATGCTATGGAAAAATTTATTTAGATGATTTGTACGGGAGGAGAACCAGACACAGTTGTTTATCAGTCCCTAATTAGGGGGTTTTGTATAAATGATGATTTGGTTAAAGCTAAGGAGTTGGTTTCTGAAATGATAAACAAAGGTATTCCTAGTCCTGATATAGTGTTCTTCAGTTCAGTAATACAGAGTCTATGCATCGAAGGAAGGGTTATGGATGCACACGATATCTTACACTTGGTTATACACATAGGTGAGAGACCTGGTGTCCTTTTATTTAACTCTCTGGTCAATGGATGTTGCTTAGCCGGCAAGGTGGATAAACTCTCAGATTACTTGATGCCAATACCATGGAATCAGTTGGAGCATAAAGTTGTTACTTACAGTACACTTCCTGATTGCTACTGTAAAATGGAAAGATCAATAATGGTTCGACTCTGTTCAAAGAAATCTGGCGTAAGAGAATTACACCCGAACTGTTACATATGGCATCGTACTGGATGGGTTTTCCGTGCTGGGAGAACTGTTGCTGCAAGAAAAATGTTCCATGAGATGACCGAAAGTGGAATAGCAGTGAGCATTTCCATATAGTACAACATAATTCTTGGAGGCCTTGTAGAAATAATTGTGCAGACGAAGCGATCGACCTGTTCTAGAAATTAGGCGCGATGAATAAGTGATGTTCAATATTTTTACACTCAGTACTGTGATTAATGCAATGTACAAATAAGGATTTATTTATGAGTGACTCGGATGTATCCGGACTTTGGAGTGCCCTGAAGACTTTTGGTGGTAGGATTAGTTATTTACCAGAATCCCATGAGCTTATTTTCAGAAAAAATGTGAAATGCCTATGACCCTGTCAATCTTCGAGGAAAGGGACTCTAACATAGTAACATGACAGATTGCGATTTCAGGATAATGGCTTCTGATTGCTATTGGGGATGGTACACACATAATCTTCCACCAGGAGCGCAATGAATACTGATGCAATCTTTTGTGATTGCTGCCTGTCTAGTTGAGTTTGATGGTTATCAAGTTTTGGTTTGCCATCTATGATCTCAGAAACTTGATTGGTCCAGGTGAGATTCGGAGATCACTATTCTGGATGCAGTAGAAAACAGGATCAATAGTGCTACATAGTTCATGGCTGCGAGCATTGTTTTCGGATCAAATCACTTACGATGATGCAAAGAAAACAAATAAAAGAAAAAAAAAACTGAAATGAAGAATGACTTGTTTGTATAGTGACATGGAGAACAACGCTCGTTTAAAAAAACATCGAGAAAAACTAGTCCCATACGTCCACGGTCGCTAGTATTCTGAATGTCTTGCTGGAAGTTTTGCCTTGAGAATTGGAGATAAATGACTAGTGATGGCCAAATGGAGGCAGAGATGGATGGTGTCGCTGGCCAAGTTTTGACCCTTCAAGTTGATCATAATATGTTTTTAACTGGTAGTTCGTCTAACTGATGATGACAAGTGCTATTAACCCTGAAGTTCAGAGCGTCGACAAGTCAGACAACCAGAAACATGACTGTTTTGTGTCTACATCATCTCGACGTTGCAAGCTATGCTAAAAAGAGGTCTGGCTCTTACACACAAGCCCCTTTATTAGAACACAAGATACAAACAAACTACTGGCCTTTACAGAGGAGGAAGAATTGCAATACCTCTGGATGTTGCCAACGTTTCTCATTGTAGTTGAGTTGATTTTGAATTCAGATGATGCATTGTAATTCCCTTAACTCAGTGGATCAATGTAAATGAATATGATAATCAATGAAGTAAACACCATTGCCGTCAAGTATTGATTTTCTCTGCAGTGTGCACATGAAACTGGTCTGGCATATACAGCAACTGTACTGAACGAAAATTGCAGCAGTTGCAAAATTCAGATAGGAAGTACACGAGCTGTACATACATCAGATGCACACATCAGATGAAAACATAGAAAGAGATCTAGTGGCAGATGCTTGCATACATCAGACTGATCATAATTGTGATCCAATAGTTTTACATAAACCGAATCCCTTGCATAAATCATCAATTGTGATCGTAATTCACACTAATTCATGGTCAAATTAAGAATCTCACTCGCATTACTAGAAAACATGCCAGTGAAATTCTCCTGCACATTTGCAACTTGTATCTTATCCTTTGCCTCCTCTGATTTTCTCAGCTACTGAAAAACTGCTGACTTGAAGGTTCACCCACACGGACTCAAGAAAGGAATTGGTTGCTTGTTTGGTGAAGCAACAACAATACGGTTTTGCTTCGGGATTTTGCAGCTGAGATCCCGCATTCCCCTTAGCACGCAGAGTTGAAACTGGAGTCACCTTCTTCATGCTAGGTGAAGCAGCAGTGACAGGCAATGTTGTAGAGCCAAAGGAACACCAAGCGACTGAACGAGAGACCTTCTTCAAGGATGGTGTAGAGTTTGACAGATGGCTGCAATATGATGCCACCTTTTTCACATTCTTGACTAGTTACTCTTTTTCAAACATGTGCATCACCACTCAAACGAAGTATTGTGAAATCAGAGATGAATCCATTGGATCTGTGCCTCAGTACACACTTTTCCGACTAGAGCAGCAGAATGCTTTAAGAAGCCACAGAAGCATACAAGAATAAATAGATACGAAAAGATTACTCAAATGCTCTGCAAAATTCAGACCGACAATTCTCTCATTCATATCCAAAATTGATTACAGTATGACTTGATAGTCGGTACATCAAGGACTTTCTTAGCTCAAAGCTTCACTCACACATACACACAAGAGTTCACCAACCAATGCTACTCGTCAGAAACTGCAACTTTAACTCACCACGACGCCAATGCCTAAGAATCCAAGTCAGCCAAGATTAATTTTACAGGAGAGTCAGCATAGTCTCCAGACGCTAGGCAGCTCACATGATTACTGTGTGTATCGACAAGTTCAATTCTACTCTTTTTTTCCTGCTACAAGCCGGGTAGCAAACGGGCGTTTTTGATTTTGCGGCGAGTGCGTTTTACGCTCTGTCTCGTGCCGGAATTGCAGTACATGAGCTTCCTTTTTAGGCTCATCTGCTTTACTTTGATTTATTGAAAATGCCCTTTATTTACTTAAACCCTTACTTAGGACCAGGTGTGGATGTAGTATAACTATGCCGTACACATCTTAACAAGGTTGTTGCTGCCTAGCTAGATGGAGACTCTGCTGACACTCTTGTAAAATTACTAATGACTGAAAGGGATTGAAAGAACACTAGAAATCTTGGTGATTAAGTGCAGAATCTAGAGATGCAAAGATTAAATGAAACTCACATGTGAATGGTTTAGGAAGGACTAGCTTAACTCGAAGGTTCACCCACACGGACTCAAGAAAGGAATTGGTTCCTCTGCTTCCTCTGATGCAATTTCTTCCTCTGCTTCGATCACCCGAGCGCTCATCCGTGGATTTGCATCGCTTGCGCAAAGTCCCGTCGACGAGCCATCTCGAGGAGGCGAGCTTGATAACGCCATGCGTGCTGTCTTGCTTGGAGCAGCTCCTCGGGGGACTTGGTCACGTCGGAGTAATGGATCCAGGGGTCGTTGAACTGCACGGTGTCCGCCATCTGCTCCACCTTTCGCCTGGCCTCTGCTCTGCTGCGCTCGATCTCCTGCTGACGACTGGCCTCTTCTTTGGAGGCCGATCGAGCCTTGTCGAGGCGAGCCATGGTGAGGCGAGCTTTCTCGATCAGTTCGCGCATGCTCATCTGCGGCTTCGGTTGCGTCGCGCTCTCCGGAGATTCGGCGACCTGGTTCTTGATTGCGGAGGAGTGGAGCGGATCCTTGCCGCTGCTGGGAGACGGAAGCTTGCTGCCGTTCTTGATGTTGGCGGGGACGGCGACATGGAGCTCGCCCCCGGAGCAGGCACCGCGTACGCGCTTCGCCGGCGGCGGTTGCTCGCCGCGCACGGATCCGGGACGCTTTGGCCTCTTGGCAGCCGCGGGGTTGGCCATCAAGGCGGGGTTCACGCGCACGCGGGAGGAGCAGGAGTGCAGGTCGGTGGCGGCGGCGGCACTACGGCGCGGGAGCAGAGACGGCGGGAGCACCGTGGTGCCGGCCATGGTCGCGGCCGCGGAGTTGATCGAGGAGCAACGACCCGGCGTTGGGAGAGAGAGGAAGATGGATCGAGGGAGGCTGATCGGTGGGCGAGGTCAGATGGATCGGGAGTTGGGGAAACGAGGCGAGCAAGAAAATAAGAACGCGGGAGAGAAAGAAGTGGCGGCAAGCAATTTGAATCCGAGTCGAAGTCGAGACTTTGGTTTTTGAATCCGAGTCGGCCCAGGCATGCATAGCTAAAACTGGCGGCAAGAGACTCGGATTCAAATTGCCTGCCACCTTTCCAACGCCTCAGAGAAAGCACAAATGAGTTCTGCTTGCATAAAGGCTAAAGCCCAGAAGAGCAAGATTAAACATGATGGCAGAATCAATTTTGGCACGAATGTCTGAACCCGAGTCGGCGCAGGCATAACTAATTCCTCAGAAAGCACAATCATAAATCCCTCCTGCCAGTATATAAGAAATCTCCTTTTTCTAAAAAGAGTATATA